TTTAATACTATATATTCATGAGTGTGAACCGAGATAAACCAAACTAGATTCAAGATCAGTTTCTTCGATTCATGTCTTCAAATGTTTTACTTTTAACTACAAAGGCAAGCAAGCCTCATAAGAGCGTGGACCCACGCGCCGATGCGCATCCGTCACTTGACCGCATGGAACTCCGCGTTGCTTCCCGTTTGTTTAATGTTTCTTCTCTTTATTCTAACTAATCAAAATAATAAAGAATTTCAAGATGCTAACCATAGTTAATCGTTGACAAAGAAATGAAAAACCATAGTTAATTGGTCAACTTGTTTAACTAACTATAGTTTACATTTGAGATAACTTCTTCCTCTTCGTATTTGATGCTCCCAATAATATATATATTCAAACAAATGCTAAGTTTTCCCATACGAGAGATAGATACTTAAGGGGCATAAGTTTTGGTTGATCAACGCAGCTAGCAAACATTTACACTTTTTTATAGTTTAAGCCTGTTTATTTATATGAAAGTAGATGTTATAAATTTTATTTGCTGAAAGAGTGTCTAAATCAGAACTAATGGGATGTAAAAGAAAAAACCAGAACTAATTAGAACTCGATCGTGCTCGTGGTAATAAAAATAGCGATACACAACCAATGGCTTGGCCTTTTAGGTCATTCTCGGGGTCAAATACGATTTCTTTTCTTTTCTTTCTACAATCTTCAGCTTTAAAGCGCAAACAAATAGCTTATTATGATAAGCTCCTGACGAAAATAAAACCTTAATTTGATAAGCTTATATACATTACTCGTCAACTTCTGGAGGAAATTATGCTTTCTTTATCTGAATCTTATACATGAATCACTTATTTGTATATGTTTTCATTATTAGTTATGACTTTATGTATTTGTACTGATAAAATGTCTTGATTTTCTTTAACGAAAGAGGAAAGAATGGGTGAAACAAAAACAGTGTTATTAATTAAAAAATCACATGAAAAAAAAGGATCAAACTACTATATGTTTTCCAGATTCTTGGGATCTCGATATTGTGTCCAATGCTTTATATATATTATGCGAGAAGATATATAACTAGTACGATTGTAGATTCTTCAATACACATATACATATAACAAAATCTAGAACCGCAATAACGTCTTTATACACACTCGACAATATAATAAGACTTGCGAGTAACTTTCATCTCGAATATTTGATTAATTTATACATATACTATACTAGATACACGTAGAATAAAACCTTATAATAATAATTTTCTCTTGGGGCCATTGGGTTTGGAGAGAAGACTTGGTCTTCTTCTTCTTCTTCCCCTTTCTCTACTTCACAAATATTCATTTCTCCCGTTTCTATATATTTTCTGCTCTACTTTTTATAAATTTTTCGTTTGTCTGCTATCTCGTACATTAAATCTAAACCTAAATCATTAGAATCCCTAATTACGTTATAAAAATCCCTAATACCCTTTTTTAATTATATTTTGTTTTTTCTTCTCTTTGATATCGGTATGGCTGGTCTTGATCTAGGAACAACTTCTCGCTACGTCCACAACGTCGACGGCAGCGGCGCCGGCCAGTTCTCCACCGACAACCACCACGAAGATGACGGTGGCACCAGAGGAAGTCATCATCATCACCATCATAACCATAACCATCATCAAGGTTTAGATTTAATAGCTTCTAATGACAACTCTGGACTAGGCGGAGGAGGAGGAGGAGGAAGCGGTGAACTCGTTATGCGGCGACCACGTGGCCGACCAGCTGGATCGAAGAACAAACCGAAGCCACCGGTGATCGTCACGCGCGAGAGCGCAAACACTCTTAGGGCTCATATTCTCGAAGTCGGAAGTGGCTGCGACGTTTTCGAGTGTATCTCCACTTACGCGCGGCGGAGACAGCGCGGAATCTGCGTTCTATCCGGCACCGGAACCGTTACTAACGTCAGCATCCGCCAGCCCACGGCAGCCGGAGCAGTTGTGACTCTGCGCGGCACTTTCGAGATTCTTTCTCTCTCGGGATCTTTTCTCCCGCCGCCTGCTCCTCCAGGGGCGACCAGCTTGACGATATTCCTCGCCGGAGCTCAGGGACAGGTCGTCGGAGGAAACGTAGTTGGTGAGCTGACGGCAGCGGGACCGGTGATGGTCATGGCGGCGTCTTTTACAAACGTGGCTTACGAAAGGTTGCCTTTAGACGAGCATGATCAGGAGCAGTTGCAGGTTCAAAGCGGCGGCGGAGGAAACATGTACTCGGAAGCCACCGGTGGTGGCGGAGGTTTGCCATTCTTTAATTTGCCGATGAGTTTGCCTCATATGGGAGTTGAAAATTGGCCGGGAAATTCTGCCGGGGCCGGTAGGGCTCCGTTTTAGCTACTGTTTTAAATATCTAAAATTTGCTTTTCCTTTCTTCTTCTCGAAATTTATGGAATTATGGTTTTTTTTTTCTTTTCTAAAACAGTTGTTCATGTATTGATCCTAAGTACATGGTTTTTAGCTTTTACTTAGGTTATTGATTTATCTGCTAAAGTTTCTAAATTAAATTCGACTTATTAATGAAGCTCCAGAATCGTTTTATACACGTGTTTGTTTAATTTATTGGTATCAAGTTCATCCACATAGCTTTGAGTTCTCTGGTTTTAAAAGAAACTAAATTAAAACTTCACATACTTTATTTTGTAACACTACAGGATTAATGGTTAATTTTTTTTATATATATAATATATATTTTCCGGTAACGACATACTATAACGCACATTTTCATCAATTATATAAGTTGACCAAACACACGCACACAAATCACACTGTTTTCTTACATTATAATCTCGTGATGTGTATTAAAATTTATAACCAAATCACGAACACTAAGAAACATAAAAATAACAGAAATTGGATCTAAAACACGTTATTGCAAGTTGCAACCCTCAACCCCAATTTCCTGTCTTGGGCAGTGGTAATTGGTAAACGTTACAGCAGCAATACATATCACTGAATCAATATATTCCAATGTCTATACTTTATAATTATATTGCAAAATTAAAATGGGAAATATTAACTTAATCATTTAGCTCGCTAGGGTTTTTCCAAAACACATGACTGAATTGATATTCCCCTTTTTTCAAAGCTTGACACTAACATGTATATAAAAAGTAATAAATGACGGGAAATAGTAAACGACAAAGAAGATTAAAGTAATAGTAGTAAAATACAAGGGAAAGTGCAAGTGGAGTGCTAATTAAGAAATTAAATTATTAATTTGACCATTTCAGTTCCAATCATGCCCTTAATTGCTCAACCCATTTGATGCTAAGCTGTCACACACGCAATAATCCAAAGCAAAGTAGCCGAATATGTTCATCACAAAACCCATTAATTATTCATTAACAATCATTACTTTATTTATCTCGAATTATAATATTGCTTATAGCTTGGAGTAACAAATTATCAATAAAATACTGCTTCATCGACTAAAATCAACACGACAATGGATCTAACTTAAAAATCAACACGACCATGGATCTAAACTTAATATAGTTCTCATCTGCTGATTGTGAACTAAAACAATAAAATGTATGGTTTTTTATTTTATTTTACTTTGTTGCTTTTATAGACTTGTAATACTGTATTTATAATTCTGAGAAAAAACTTTGACAGTATTGATGGCTCCACTTATAAAAGTGAAAAACTCTTTCATAATTTGCTGAACTAGTTTCTTTTGGATACCCTTTTCTCTTTCTCTATATTACAAAAAACAATATGCAATTGTTTTGAATTTCACAAAGAAATTAATTATCTCGTCCGGGACATGAACTTGCCTATCGTGGTAAGTAATGATCTACACATGTACAATATTAGAAATACACACTGCTGGATTTCGTGGGGGATGAGAGTACATAATTTAAAAAATAATATACTGTAGTTATTTTTTATTTTGTCAACAATACATATACTTAAGTTATTTACGTATTAAAGTGTTGCTATAAAAATATATAAATGTGGGTAAAGGAGAGACAGCCATGATTTTCACCAAGTACCATGGATCCTTGTTTTTTCTTCATTAGATTTTGTATCTACCTAACTTTTACAAAACATTGATATTATTAAGAGCACAAGCATTCTAAAACAAGCTAAACAAACTTTCTTTATGTTAAAGTCCATAAAGTTGGAACAGATTACTTGCTAATCATAGTTTCACATACATAATAATCATTAGAAAAACATTGATCAAACTATCACATCCGAATGTTTGACCGCTAATATTTCTTTGGTCATTTAAATAATGCAATGCCTACTGGTTATCTTATTAAGCTAGATTAGATTGCCACAGTACCGCGTACCAGTTAGTCATAATTACCAAAGTGTCTTCTATTATAATTTTTTAAAAATTCGCGCGTTACTCTGATGAATAAAACCAAGTTGTATCTAATATTCCGACTTGTAAAGTTATTTATTTTTGTTTTGCAGTAGTTGAAACAAAACTTAGAATTTCAAAGAGAACAGTTTTTGTTGGTTCATCGTTATCCAATTTCAAAACTAATAATGGGCCAGCTTTAAGGCCAATGTCTCTATAAGCTGTAGCAAAAATTCAGTGGACCTTCTCGGTTCATATTTATCTAAGAAAGAAGATCTTCATGACACAGTCTTCCTTGTCTGGAAGATCCATGCAAGACTTCTGATCATTTTGTGCTAATAAGATAAATCACTCTTTTCTTTTCAGAGATTGTTTTGGTTTTATGTGAAGTTTATTTCTTGTAGAAGTCTCTCCTACACACATTTGTTGTTTTTTTTATGGGCGTTTGGTTTTGATGATAATTTGTTTCAGCCGGTGTATGTAATTTTTTACATCAAAGGTTTAATAAAATTACAAAAAAAGATCTTACGTACACATATTACAAAACACACGTGTTAATGCAAAGTATTCTAGATATATTGATACACGTTTTCAGTAAAATATTCTAGTTAAACACACGTTTTCAGTAAAAACACTCTGTTATTTCACGTAGATCAATTTCTTTCTCTAGCAATCTTGAGCATAGAAATCAATGATCTCGACGACATCCATACCCAAGAACGTAGATGCATCGTTACGAAGAAGCCATAGCAAGTGCTCGAACAAGATCGAGTCGACATGATCAAGCCACACCACTGTATCCGTTCGTTTTAACCGGTTCTTGGACGTATGATCCTTAACCGAACCTATCAAAACTCTAAACGGCTTCTCTTCGAGTACGTAAGGTTCGACCATAAATTCCTTCTTCTCCTTCCCTACCACCACCCTTATCACCGAATCTTCCATATCGTCGGTCAGATTCCGGTATGCATACCGCCGCGAATCGGCCGAGGAGAGGCGACGGAGTTTCATTACAGGAGAAATCAAACAACCCATTTGAGAGAAGGAAAAAAAAAAACAGAAACAGAGATTATAAAACACCAAAAACAAGGAATACAAACTCAGTAGAATTTAAACAATATGAACGCAAATGAATGGTTTCAGATTGAACGCGGTTTATTTATGAAGAAACCTTTTACAAAGACATACATAATTTTCAGATATAAGCTTTAGTACGTGGCGCACGATGGTTGGCTAATATTGCTGCGATGTTATATGTCAAGAGTTCGACGGCCCACCCACCGGCTTAACTTTCTTTCTCTATCCACATGTTTTTAGGAAGAAAACGATTTTTACTTATATGTATGATAGTTTTGTACCTATATACCAATGACAAAAAGATACTTTCTAACTAATTCTTCTTATCGGTTACGCAAACTTTGCATTTATGACCTAACCAACATTGTTCATGTTTTATATCGTTATAAATTTTGTACAAGTTGCGAATATCGATTTTCTGAATTTACAATCGATTCAATATCCTGTAAAGCCACTAAGCTAAACATAAACCATGTAGGCTCGACGAAATTTAAGTCTGTCTAGTGATGTTGTATTTGCCTAATATTATTTGATTTTCAAGAAACTACATGGTGATTTATGCATACAATATCAAAAGAAGCTAGCCCCAAAACAATTAAAGAGGAAGATTAAATCAAAAGAAATTAACCAAGAAAATTTAAGACATTTATTAGAAAAAAAAACACAAAAGCATATATATTACAAACCACTAATCTTAACAAAGCTAGCTAGTTAGATCTGTCCTGGCGGGTAAGTAGCTCCGGTTGATCGGGTAGGGTAGGTGGAGTGACCAGGAAGATGATGGGCGTGAACCTGAGCGTCTGCCGCATGCTCAGCCTTGGATTGGTGGAGATCGGCCTTGGCCTGCGCCTCCTTCGTCTTCTCCCGCTCGTGAGCCATCTTCTTCTCTTGTGAAGTCCTCGCCATCGTCTTTTCAGCATGGCCTTGTGCCTTTGCGCCACCTATGTTAATCTTCTCCTTGGCGGTACTGGCCATGTCGCTGATCTTTTCCTTCGCCGAATGCATCTTCTTCTTCTTCTTTTTCTCAAACTCAAATCTTCTTCTTTTGCTTTTCTCTATGCATGCTATCCGATCTAATTTAACGACCAGCGTACGATTAGTCGAGGAACTGAGTTATCACCACGTGTAAATACATATACGTGTCAAGAGTTACGCATATGTACGTGGGTTACGTGCATGCGTATATTTCACATTATATTTTCTGCATTTAAATCTCTGAAGGAGGGTGGACAATGCACACAAACCTCGTGAGAACTGCCCAAGAATCTACAACTAAAGGCTTCTTTCGTAGATTGCGTAAACCGATGTCAACCATTAATATAAGCAAATGACTAGCAAAAAGTATGATATAGATGAATATAGTGTGCTATGAGCCTATGATCGAATGTAATTGCTCGAGTCCTTGTCCATGGAGCTAGTTTTGTGACTCTTCTACATTTCTCACATAAACCATGTCCAAATATCCTTGTTTATTTTTAGTGACACACTTTTTTGAATTTTTAAAACTCTTCCAGAGTTGGCATTTGAACAAGCTGTATATGTACGTGGGTTACGTGCATGCGTATATTTCACATTATATTTTCTGCATTTAAATCTCTGAAGGAGGGTTGACAATGCACACAAACCTCGTGAGAACTGCCCAAGAATCTACAACTAAAGGCTTCTTTCGTAGATTGCGTAAACCGATGTCAACCATTAATATAAGCAAATGACTAGCAAAAAGTATGATATATGAACAAGCTGTATATGAGAGACGGCTTTAAGAACCAAAGCCATATTGTTGCAAAAGCTTGGAAATCAGACTTGATGTGTATGTAACTCTCTTAATTCTCTCAATTACGTGCGATGGCTCAACATACAATAAATATCAATAAGATATTGCAAAGACAAAATCTTTAAAAAATCAACTGTTTGATTACAAATACCAAATTCCGACTTAACTCAGTCTAATCTTATGTATAAACAATGGTGGGTTTGCAAGGAAGGGCTTTTGTTGGGATGGTTGCATATATTACAACAATAGGAAAAAAGCTTCATCAAGACACTTAGTCTTTGTTGTTTGTTTCATTAGCATCAAAGTAGTAGCTCACAATCTTCGGCGTTATGCCAGGGAATCTGTGGGAGCTATCCGGTTGCAAATCGATCTTAACGAACGGCCATTGCATTGCCTGCGCGGCTGCACACTCTTCCCATCCGTCACCGATCGCACAGAATCTGAAATTCGGATGGCTGAAACGCTCCTTGATCCATTTGAAACATTGGAGCTTCCCCACATCTATTGAACTGTACACTGTAGAAAGGCCAAAAAAAGAGTTAATGATGTTGTACTCTGCTTCTACATGCATGGAGGAGAGCATATTGAAGAAGGAAGGTGAACTCTGACTCCGAGCTTACCATTTTCATGTCTTATGAATGTATCTAGCCGGAAAAGCAGGCACTTCACGAGGCTCGGTACGAGTGCCCCTGAGGTCACTAGAATATGTATATCCTGAGAGATTCGATCGATTGCACTTGTTCCATCACTAGACTCGTCTTTCACACATGAACACTGCTCCAGGAAAGCCCTTGCTGCAATCGAGACAATAACCGCACTGAGCACTAGAGGCGGTTAAATGAATAAAAACCACACAGAAGCAGACAGTTCTCCATTTACCCGAAGAAAGCCACCGGTCTGTGTATCCATCAGTTACGTGGTACAACTCGTCCAATATACTCATCGTTTCGCCGTCAATCAAAGGACGCAAACCCTGCAATGACAAAGAGTACTCGAGGAGTCATATAACATCAGCGACGAATTTAATATAACATAAGAAGAAACTTATCAGTACCTTTTCGTATTTGCGAGCAACAGCTCGATGTCTGTAGGCAAGTTTCCTCTTGTTCAAGTCATCGGTAGGAGTACTAAAGTCGTCTTGTTTGAAGTCATACTGAGAAAGATCCTTCCCGTCATCATATTGTCTCAAAGAATCAACAAATGGTTCGTTGCAATCCTCAATCTGCAAAAAAAAACACGAGACTTATCAGTGACAAGAGTTTTATAAGATGCTTTTGAGCTTATCGTCAAAAAAAATAAAACAACTTACTTGCTCGTAGAAGAAACAATTGTCACAGATCTTAAGAATGTGTTTCTCCCACATCTCCCCAATCTCTACACCTCTTTTAACATCTTTAGAGCCGTTAAAAGACTGAGCATAGGTCCCATTTAACAGAGATCTAAGTAAGATTAGAGTCTCGTCCATGTCCCATATATACACATTCACTGGTCCACCATCAGAAACCAAAGTTCCCAGCTTTTGTGATGTAGTATCATTCATTATCTGCTTTCTTCTCTGACTATAACAAGTTTAAAACCAGAGATCACTCCATCAAATCACATAACTATTCAGGAGACGCAACGAAATTCATAATTCACTGATAATACAATCAGGAGCCAGTGGATTGAAATAATTTTCGCGGCGGAAATAAAAACCGATAAAATTCCCAAAAGAGCAAACTTTTCAACAAACCTATGACAAATCTCTCACTAAACAAAGCACGATAAACGATTCACTGTTCAATCAATCATAAAAAAAAATAGAGCTTTCAGGTCGAATGAGGATCGATGGCAGATAACACAAAGTTCAAAATTCAAATAACGTACCTGCCGATTTGATGAGTAAGATCGAGCTGCGGAGCTAAGTGACGACGATGTGTTCGACGATTACAGACGAAGGGAAGCTGTAAACGGCCGCAGAAACGACGTCGATTAATATCATTTAAAACCAGGCCCAATAAAGACCCATTTTAGGCACACTATCGGCCCCATACTGTTCGCCACTAACACACACCACGACCAGAAACTGAACAGAGCCTTGGTTTTGTTTTTTTCTCGTTTCTTGCATGCCCTTCGCTCCTCTTCTCTCTCGTCTCTACCTGAGTTCGTTCAATTCAGCTGAGAAATACAGCCATCTTCGATCAGTAAGTCCTTCTATGTTGTGTTAATTCCGTTTTTATTTATTCATTGTTCCATCATCAACAACCATTTCTCCTGATCCTGGTTTGGTTTTGGTTATTCATTTGGGGAATTCAATGATCTTCTCTCTTCCAATCTCCGTGGATTCTTTTTTTTTGTTTTTTTGTTTCTTCAGATTCGATAAAGAGATTCTCCAATGGGTTGTACTGTGAGGGATAAGCATATCAGACCAAACCGGAAGACCCGATCCGTGAAACCCGAATTCGATCCTTGTTGTCTGCTCGACAGGACGGCTCTGTCGAAATCAATCGTCGAATCGAGCCTCAAGCATCTTGTTTATCATCCGGGCCTTCTGGATTCGAGCCCAGGCCCTAACCCTACTGGGAATCTCGAGGAGAATGGGTGGGGTTACTGTACGGAGGAGCAGTTAGAGGACATACTGCTGAAACATTTGGAGTATCTCTACAACGAAGCGATTTCAAAGCTTGTGACTTTGGGTTACGACGAGGAAGTGGCGTTGAGAGCTATTCTTAGCAATGGGTACTGTTATGGTGGGATGGATGTTTTGACAAACATTCTGCATAACTCATTGGCTTATCTTAGTAGCAGCACAGGGGAAGGCAGTAACGGTGGGAACAATGAGGATCAGTCAGAGACTGTTTTCACGGATCTGAGACAGTTGGAGGAGTATTCTCTTGCGGGTATGATTTATTTGCTGCAGCAAGTTAAACCTCATCTGAGTAAAGGTGATGCAATGTGGTGTTTGCTGATGAGTGAGCTCCATGTTGGGAGGGCGAGTACAATGGATATACCAAGCTCTGGAAATGGTAATGGAGGTAGTGGTTGTAGTACTGTGAATGGCGTTGGGGGTGTGGCGCCGGCGTTGTGTAGATTCCATGGAGGTTGGGGTTTTGGGAATGGGAGAGGGCCTGAGTTTTCCGGTAATGGGTTTTCTTCGTTGACGTCGCAGAGAGAGATTGATTGTCCGAGGAGGTTTAATCTATCGCCGTCGATGAAGTCTCTGTTGAGAGAGAACGTTGCGGCTTTTGCCGCTGGGTTTCGTGCTAGTATGAAGCAGAAGAAGCAGTCTGAGGCTGTTGGTAATATCAGCTTGTGTTGCGCAGCTGCTGCACGTTCAGAGACGTGTGAGCAGCCACGTAGCTCGGGAAGCGAAGAGAGTGTAAGCTCAGTGCTGGAGAAGTTCCGAGATCTGAACCTTGATGATTCTGCAGCTGAGGAGCTAAAGGATGATTCTTTAGTAGGACTGCTTCGTCAGGTTCAGGATCTCAAGAAGCAAGTGAAGGACAGGAGAGACTGGGCTCAGAAGAAGGCGATGCAAGCTGCGCAAAAGGTCAGCGATGAACTCGCCGAGCTTAAGTCATTGAGGAGTGAGAGAGAAGAAAACCTGCGGCTGAAGAAGGGGAAACAAACCCTAGAGGACTCAACCTTGAAAAGGTTATCGGAGATGGAGAATGATCTTAGAAAAGCTAGCGGTCAAGTTGACAGGGCAAACGCGATCGCAAGGACGCTCGAGAACGAGAACGCAGAGATCCGTGCGGAAGTGGTGGCTTCCAAGTTGAGTGCATCGGAATCGCTCACGGCGTGCATGGAGGCGTCGAAGAAGGAGAAGAAATGCTTGAAGAAGCTTGTGGTGTGGGAGAAGCAGAAGATGAAGTTGCAAGACGAGATTACAGCTGAGAAAGAAAAGATCAAGGCACTCAATAGGGCTTTAGCTCAGATCACCCAGGAAGAAAAAGAATATGAGGTACCTTGAAACGCATTATAACCAGTGTTGAGTTGTAGAATCTGTTCCGAGGAGATTCTTACACGCTCTTTATACTTTTCATGGGGCAGGTCTTTTCTCTCTATGCTGGTAGATGGATCATATATCAATAGAAGGTTAGCGTATTTTTTCATATTTGTTAATATGTATATGCAGGAGAAATGGAGGCAGGAGCAGAAAGCAAAGGAGCAAGCTTTGGGTCAAGTGGAAGAAGAACAACGGTCCAAGGAAGCAACGGAGGCTAGCAACAAGAGAAAGGTGGAAACTCTCCGGTTAAAGATCGAAATTGACTTCCAGAGACACAAAGACGATCTCCAAAGGCTGGAACAAGAGCTGTCTCGGCTCAACAAGGCCTCTTCCACTGACACAAGCCTCAAATCCGATAACACCTCTCACAAAAAGGGGAAATCAGACAAGTCGAAGGGAGAGGCAATGTCTAAGCTGCTTGAAGAGCTGGATAGGCTTGATGGGTCATACGAAAAGGAAGCAAACTGTGACCGGGAGTGTCTGATCTGTATGAAAGACGAGGTTTCGGTTGTGTTTCTCCCTTGTGCGCACCAAGTTGTCTGTGCTAGCTGCAGCGATAGCTTCATGGGCGGTGGCAAAGCGACCTGCCCTTGTTGCAGAGCTCCGGTCCAGCAGAGAATCCGTGTCTTTGGAGCAACGTCTTAGTCAAACTACTTTTTTGTCACAGCACAGCTTCTTTTGTCAGGTATAAAACTGTTTTTTTTTTTGTTTTAACGTAACTTATGGAGCTCTCTGCTTCATATTGTCTCTTATGTTGAAACTGGTGAGTCCGAGGGTTTTGGACTATTCATGCATTTGCTCTTTACATAAATAATTGTTTTTGAGTTGTTGAAAGAAGATGTAGCCTGGTTTATGATCTTCCCAGGATTTCATTATGTAAGTAAATAAAGTTCTAGCTTCTCTCTACTCAATCCCTGAGACACCTTCTGTTTTAACTGAACAAGCCGTTTGTCATTTTCTGCATTGTCAGAGTAATAATTACTGAAAAAACAATTCGTATAATCACAATGTAATTTCGATTGATATGTATTCCTTACCAAGTTTCATATTTTTTTTTCCCAAATCTCTTTAAAATGTCTGAGGTTGCAAATATTTAAAGAGAACAAGTTCACACAGTGCTAAAAGAAACAGAAACTGTACTGGTCGGATCAGACCGGGCTAAACCGGTCCAGACCAAATGGCTAAAATCATGGAAATTTAAATTTCCTTATTTAGTAATAAAAAAGCGCTTCAGAGTTGCAAGTATAAAAAGATTTTGGTTCATAACGGGGGAAAAACACAATCGACGTTGGGTTCTTCGGAGAGGAGACTTGAGTGGCCGCCGGTGAATTCTCTTCCGCCGTCTGATTTCTGTTACCTTGCGTCTAGTGGTAAGCCTCATTACCTATCATCTTCTTCCTTCTCCATCTCTCCTCACTTCTGCGAGTGTCGGAAAAACCTAGATCTAAGTGTTATCTTAATCTTAGGGTTTTGATCATCCTGAAATTATTCATCGCACCTGATGACGGCCTTGCCTCGGCCTTTAATTCCTGGGAATTTCCCACTTTTTACTATGTATCTCTCTTTTTTCTTTTATGCAACTTCCTAATTATGTATCTTTTATGGCAGTGCAGTGAGAATGGCGAGCAATGATTTGAACACCTGGGTTTCTGACAAATTGATGGTTCTGCTAGGCTATTCACAATCTGCTGTCGTCAAGTATCTAATTGCAATGGGTAAACCCTTGGCCTTTCGTTTTGGATCATGAAAGCAAAAGCGAGCTATGATTGTAGTTGACAAAGAGGAGTTTTTTTTTCTTTTCTTGTAGCCAAAAAATCGAAATCAGCAGCTGAACTAGTGCGTGAGTTGGTGGATTACGGGTTCCCTTTGTCGGCTGATACAAGCGCTTTTGCAGAAGAAATTTACGCCAGAGCTCCCCGGAAAACCGCTGGTGTGAATGTGAGCTCCTCAATGACTCTCCCTCGTGTTGTTATATTCTCTTCGTAAAGCTTTTTCTGAGTGAAAATATGTCTTAGATTCTTGGTATGGTCGAAGAATGTATTAAATTTGGTTGGTTTTATGGGTTTCTTTCAGCTGTACCAGCAACAGGAAGCAGAGGCAGCGATGCTGTTGAGGAAGCAAAAAACTTTTTCCCTTTTAGAGGCTGATGATGATGGCAATGTGGAGAAACGATCTGCTCCGGAGACCAGAAAGTCAGGTAAAGGACAGAAAAGGTTCAGGAAGAAAATTGGGCAACCGGAAGACGACGATGATGAGGTAAATTGCTTTCTGTTCCATTTTTTTTTGCTTTATGGTAAGATATAGCCTCATATCTCTCTTCTAATAATGTGATAATCTTTATGACTTAAACAACAATGCAGGTGGTTGTTGTTGGAGAGGTCGAAAGGAATGTTAGGAGAAAGGTTTCTGAAGGCGAGGATGATGGCACTGAGGTATATCTAGCTGATGGCTACTCTTAGGGTGTTTGCATTTGAGCTATGTGTGGTGGATACCTGCTTTTATAATTGAGTTGCTGACAATCGGTTTTAATCTCATATATTTGGTACAGTCTGAAGAGGAAAGATTACGTGACCAAAGGGAGAGAGAAGAACTAGAGCAGCACCTAAGAGAGCGCGATACTGCACGGACAAGAAAGGTACGTCTTCTTTGTTTGTGCACTGAAAAGATCCTGGTTTTGGTATTTCTCTGTTTTTTTATGTTCATATCTTAGCTTGACGTCCTTGTTTTAGCAAACAAGCTGCTTAGTTTTGTGGTAACTTTAAGTTGGATGATTCTACACTTAATATTCCATATAATCCTGTATGCTTATATCCTGTCTCAAGTCAAAGAAAACATAGAAAAGTATTGACGGATTCATTGATCCTTGTATTCTTTGCTGTCTGATCTTTTTGTTAGTAACATGTCCCTTTCCTTTCTTTATTGAGCAGCTATCAGAGCCAAAAATGTCAAAGAAAGAACAAGGTACGGACTTTTATTGCTCATGCATGAACATGTATAAGCATCTTTGTGTTAAGTATGAGTTATACAAAGTGTCGTTTCTTCTGCTGGTCTCATTTTAGTTTCTTAAATTTCAAAACAGAGGAGGTTTTCCGAAGAGACAGTGCTGTGGAGAAGGGTGATTTGGAATCCTTAAGGTACTTATGCTGTTTCTATTGCTAATTTTTCCTTCCCTTGCATCTATGGTCTGTAATGATTTCTTTATGAAAGAGATATATACAAATGCATCCATATGGAAATACAATAACAGCGCATGACTGACAAAAAACGTTATCAGTAAATTAATTGTGTGTCAAATGTCATTCCTGTAGCTGAAATGCCCTGTAAAGTTGCAAATTTTGATTTCCAATTACGAATTCTTGACGTCAACAAATGTCTCCGCATTAACAATTCTTGACGGCGTTCCTATTGTTTTATACTCATTCATTGTTATTGATTATATTTTGCCTGATTTCATTCAGGAAATTCTCGCGGCAAGAATATTTGAAGAAAAGGGAGCAGAAGAAGATGGAAGAACTAAAGTACTTGACCTTAAGAGTTTCTTTTCACCTAGGAAATTTCTGATTCCTTGTATAACACTGCTTCTTAGTATCTTTTACCTTTCTCCTTAGTGGCTTCAATTTAGTAGTTAGGAGTTTTGTTATTTAGAAGAAGATGGAAGAACTAAAGTACTTGACCTTAAGAGTTTCTTTTCACCTAGGAAATTTCTGATTCTTTGTATAACACTGCTTCTTGTATCTTTTACCTTTCTCCTTAGTGGCTTCAATTTAGTAGTTAGGAGTTTTGTTATTTAGAAGAAGATGGAAGAACTAAAGTACTTGACCTTAAGAGTTTCTTTTACATTTCTGTATCTATGTTACTGCTGATCCTTACTGACTTCTCCTTTCTCCTCTTTTCTTCCTAGGGATGAATTAGAAGATGAAAAGTACCTTTTCGGAGATGAAAAGCTCACCGAAAGAGAACTTCAGGATTCTAGGTAATTAATACATCTTTCTCGCACCAAGATGGCTTTGGGGATTATAAAATTTCACAATGGTGGATTACTTTTGGTCATTTTTTGTTGCAGTCTGAAATCTATATGGTATTATTCTTAGTTTCGAGAATCTGTTTTTGGCTAACTGAACACGGGTTGTTCTGACACTTTAACAGATACAAGAAAAAAATCTACGACCTCCTCGTGGATAAAAGTACACAAGAAGCAGATAATATAGGAGAGGTAATTGCATTTGACTGAAACTTTCTTAGGTTTTGGACTATCAAAAAGATAGCCTTCGAGTGTTATTTATAAATAGTTTTTCTTCCTCTGAATCATTTGTACTTCTCTCTTGTTTTCAACCTCTGTGGAATTTCAGTATAGAATGCCAGATGCATATGACCAAGATGGGGGTGTTGATCAGGAGAAGAGATTTGCTGCTTCTGTACAACGTTACAGGTAAGTTGAGAAAGAGTGCATGACTTAAATTCCATCACATTGTACTTTGGTTACACCTGAAAGATCACTCTTTTCATTTTATCAATCTCTTATGGATGTTCTAAATTATCTTATCTGATTAGGGACATGGATTCGACGGAGAAAATGAACCCCTTTGCAGAGCAAGAAGCTTGGGAGAACCATCAGATTGGTAGTATTCTTTTTTAACGCTTTTGTTATCTACCAGTCTTTTTTTACATGCATGCTATGTGTAATTTACATTGTTTGTGACGCTTGTTAAATGACATTGTTATGCAGGAAAGGCGACATTAAAATTTGGTGCAAAGGATAAGCAAGCCTCAGACAATCATGGGTAAACTTTTTTACATTTTTCCTCCTACTCCTATTCTATTACTTTCCAATTTTACATTTGACCTATTATCAGAGAAATCCTTTGACCTTAAATCTAATTTTTATATTTGCAGGTTTGTATTTGAGGACCAAATAGAGTTCATAAAAGCATCTGTCTTGGCTGGTGAAAATGTATTAACTATGATATCAATTAGGTCTAATATGTCTTTTTGTAATGCTGAGTTTTAGCTGACTACTCGTTGTTGTCATTACAGTATGAAGACGAGATGCATGCTAAACCATGTCAAGATTCTAGGGGGAAATCGGTTTTCGATATGCTTCAGGTGTAAGCATTTCCTCTTTTCTCCACTTGTCCTGTTTGGTTAAATTTAACGACTGGAGCTCTTTTGAGATATTTCATTAGCTAGAAATCATCTGAATTATTGTGTGTTTCTATGTTTGAAGTTTTCCCTGCAGAAGTTGAAAGATATTCTGACATATTTTGATGTTATTTAATGAATCAGGAGGAGAGAAAAACTTTGCCAATATATTCATATCGTGATCAACTTCTTAAAGCTGTGAATGATCATCAGGTAATTTTATCTTTCATGTCTCTTCCTCTGTGTCTAAATTACTGATAACAACTCTCAAATTTCAAAAACATCTTTTGACACACGAAAGAAGCTTGCTCTACCAATCCCTATGGACACAATTGTTTCGTCCTGAGACAGCCTTTGGTGTATAGTATATATAATTAACAAAGAATTTAATACTTGGACAAGTAATCATGCATCAGAAAAGCCTTTCAATCATGCCTCTCACTGAAATAGTGGATTAAAGCTTTTGTTGATGGAAATGAACAGATATATTTCTTGTATTTGGATAACAGTTTTGTCTGTACATGTATGATTCAAACCATTTTCCCTTTAAATGACCAGGTACTTGTCATTGTTGGGGAAACGGGTTCAGGGAAAACTACACAGATACCCCAATATCTTCACGAAGCTGGTTACACCAAGCGTGGAAAGGTAAACCCTACTGCTATTGGGGCACATAATCAAATGAATTATTTTAATCTTAATCGAGAGCTTTAGCCCGTTCGTTCAAATTTGTTGAATTTTTCTGTTTTTATCAGAAACTATCTTATTTAAAGGTTAACGAAGATTGCCTTTGTGCATGATTTTTGTGGCCAAATGGTTTGAAAAGTAAAAACAAAAAGTTACTTTCAAGCACCATAACTATTCTGTCATGCTGCAGGTTGGTTGCACGCAGCCTCGACGAGTTGCGGCTATGAGTGTGTCTGCTCGTGTTGCTCAAGAAATGGGTGTCAAACTTGGGAATGAGGTATGTTGTCTTCTCACTTATTTTCTTGTGGCAGTTTATAGTTGCACAATTGTTAATTTGCCACTGCAAGAATTCAATGCTCTGATGGTGCTTGTTACAGGTTGGCTATTCCATTCGATTTGAGGATTGCACTTCTGAGAAAACGATTCTCAAGTACATGACTGATGGAATGCTTTTGCGAGAGCTGCTTGGTGAGCCAGATCTAGGCAGTTACAGGTAAAGAACACTCCCACTCAATTTGTTTCCACATGGGGCTTATGAAACCTTCTTTGCTTAATGATATCTGAACCTTTCAGTGTTATTATCGTTGATGAGGCGCATGAAAGAACTCTGCACACCGACATACTATTCGGATTAGTTAAGGCAAGTGGATACCTTTCTTTTCACTTATCCAATCAGATTTAAAATCTTAGGATATATTCTGATCCTCTCTTCTTATGTTATGGCAGGATATAGCAAGGGCTCGACCTGATCTGAAGTTACTGATATCCAGTGCAACCATGGATGCCGAGAAGTTTTCTTTTTTTTTTGACCAAGCCCCGATATTCAGTTTCCCAGGACGGAGGTATCCAGTTGACATTTGCTTTGCCACTGCACCTGAAGCTGATTACATGGACGCAGCAATAGCTACTGTGCTTACGATACATGTGAACGAGCCACTTGGGGATGTATTGGTCTTCCTCCCAGGTCAAGAGGAAATTGAAACCGTTGAAGAGAACTTGAAGCAGAGGATTAGAGGTTTGGGTACAAAGATCCGCGAACTCATTATATGCCCTATTTACGGAAACCTTCCAAGCGAACTCCAGGCAAAAATATTTGAACCAACTCCTGAAGGGGCACGAAAAGTAGTCCTAGCAACAAATATTGCTGAAACGTCACTGACCATCGACGGTATAAAGTATGTCGTTGATCCGGGCTTTTGCAAGATGAAATCATATAACCCTAGGACCGGGATGGAATCTTTGCTTGTAGCGCCTATCTCTAAGGCTTCAGCAACGCAACGAGTTGGTCGAGCTGGAAGAACAAGTCCAGGGAAGTGTTTCCGTCTGTACACGGCGTATAATTACCACAATGATTTAGAGGAAAACACGGTGCCTGAAATACAAAGGACGAACCTTGCTAGTGTGGTGCTGGCATTGAAGAGTCTTGGTATTCATAATCTGATCAACTTTGACTTCATGGACGCACCACCATCCGAAGCTCTTATAAAGGCCTTGGAGCTACTCTTCGCTCTAGGTGCTCTGAATCAGCTTGGCGAATTGACTAAAGCTGGTAGAAGAATGGCAGAGTTTCCTCTTGATCCGATGTTGTCGAAGATGATTGTTGTTTCTGACAAGTACAAATGCTCCGATGAGATCATATCAATCGGGGCCATGTTGTCCGTCGGGAATTCTATCTTTTACCGTCCCAAGGACAAGAAGGTTCATGCTGACAATGCAATGATGAATTTTCATGTTGGAAATGTCGGTGATCACATTGCTTTGCTCAAGGTCTGTAAATTTCAGCATTTCTCAGTTCCCCTTCCTTACTCTTTTTTTTTCTTTGCAATCTCACTTTTTTTATTCGTCTGTCTTCTTTGTTTTGTGAAAGATTTACAATTCTTGGAAGGAAACGAACTACTCAACTCAATGGTGCTACGAGAACTATATTCAGGTTTATCATCATGCACCCTCTGTTCATGAAATTATATAATATTTTGTGAATCCATTGTAACGTTGGTTTGGAATCCTATGTGGATAGGTTCGGAGCATGAAAAGAGCCAGAGACGTTCGTGATCAGTTGGAGGGTCTTCTTGAGAGAGTTGAAATCGAAGTCAGCTCAAACTCGAACGAGTTGGATTCAATAAGAAAGTCCATCGTAGCTGGTAAATTTCTCAAACTCTCCAATTCATTAAAAGCCATATTTGTTGTTGCTTGCTAAAGAAGTTCTATACTACTTTGCTCAGGTTTCTTTCCACACACTGCAAAGCTACAGAAGAATGGATCATATCGAACAGTGAAGCATCCTCAAACCGTGCACATACATCCAGCCTCTGGCTTATCTCAGGTTTAGTTTTAATTCTCACTTATAGAAACATGTAAACTCAAAATCGTGAAGTCTTATAATGTTGATGATTACTTGATGATATGAATTTCGTGATGATATTGTTAGGTATTACCGAGATGGGTTGTATATCATGAACTAGTCCTTACCTCTAAGGAATACATGCGACAGGTAAAAATCTGTTTTTTTTCCCTCTTTCTAAACCACATTATGATATTTGTTTTTGAATTGTTTTGGGTTTATTCTTTGATCTCGAAAAATGTAGGTAACAGAGTTAAAACCCGAGTGGTTGATTGAGATAGCTCCACACTATTATCAGCTCAAGGACGTTGAAGATGGTATTACTATACATTCTCTTTTCGGTTCTAATACTTTCTTGTTTTTCTACGAATAAAGAATCCATCGCTCACTGACTACGTCTCCTTTTGCAGCTAAATCCAAGAATATGCCCAAAACCAGTGGCCGTGCTGCGATGGACAAGTTGTGAGAATGATGATGACTTTTAATAAAATTGTTAACTTGCCCTATAATTAACTTAGATCTATAGAAGGCCCGCTAAAAATATTCAGGCCCGTTAACAGAAGCATATAAGTGCATTACAAAAACATGTGTTCCCGGAGGAAAATGTTTTTATGTAGTAGATTGACGAAAAAAAAAAAATGTAGTAGATTTTTAAAATATTTAAAAGATTACGAAATTGGCTGATATAACTATATAAATAACTGAAATTCATAAAATAATCATATCAAATTGGATGCTATTATATTGTCTATATCTCCTACAATATATACAAAAAGACTATTTGTTTAACATATTACATTACTATACTATACTCACTACTATATTAACTTATATTATACTATATTAATCTTACCGTATGAAAATATATATTAAGGTATAGTTTGATTCTATAATGAGAATCCTAAGTACTATACTATTTATTTTTAAAACTTTAAATACTATACTATTTATTTTTTTAAGCTTAATAATCGAACAATCAATACGTTTTCATTTAAAACAGAAATTTTTTTTAATATTTTCTCTGTGGGTCATAGTTACTTTCCATATTTTTTAAATAGCATAGCTATATTCTTGGATTATTTCACAAATATGGTTAGATTACAAATTAACCCTAAAAGATTTCTGGTGAAAAAGAAAACCACAAAAAAGTAAAATAGAATATTTTTTTTCTTAATTTTTTTTTTTTCCAAGTTCTATGTATTACCCTCCCCCAAATTTACATACTTTTTTTTTGGTTTTCACCTCTATACCAATCTCTACCATATTCATCAAAGAAAGAAAATAAACCCTTCCCCCCCTAAGCTTGATCAAAAAAATCCTACAGAAACATGAAATGAAACAAAAAGAAACAAGAAAACTTGACGAGAGCTGAACAACGTTTTCTGCCACCTTTTGATCAAAAGAGGCTTATCATCTCGATGAGGAGAGTTTTCTTGTTGGCTCAAATTGTGGTCTCAAAGGTACTTTCCTGATGACTTCCAGATCCTACTTCCTCCAAGTGCTATCACTAACACAGTGCAATCGTCATGATACTTTCTTCGATCTCCTTGTGGGATATCCAGAAGCTCGTGAAAACCCATTCCTTTGAAAAAAAACAAAAAGTCATTATAATTCCCCTAAAATTACCACCAAAACTCACATAATCATTTAGTAACAGAAGGAAAAGGAAGTGTCTTTTACCAGCTTTCTTGGCTGCACGGACTAGAAGTTCCTGTATAACATGTTGAGCAGGATCTCCATCTGGGAACTTCTCCATGGCAAGGGAAACAACTTCTTCATTGCTCAGGTATTGGTACAATCCATCAGATGACAGAACCATAAACTGATCATTCTCTGTTAGCCGGTAGTGACGAAGGGATGGTGTGCATGATATGTATGGATCCGTACCAATGTATTCATTTCGAAACATTCCCAGTAAAGCATCGTTTAGTTTAGGCTGCAAAATCAAACTTTCCTTGTGAGACTTATTGAAATGATATAATTTTTTTGTGATTCAAGACTGAATATTTTGCCTAACCTGCTTCAAGAACCCTGCTCCAAATGCTCTGGTCACCTTAAGCCTTCCTTTCACTCTGTCGTTCACTATGCAATGGTTGTCATCAGGGTGCTCGTTTTTTATTCTTGTTACTTCCTGAATTCATCAATGGGAAATTCTCATGTGACAACGCAACATTACAAGAGAAAGTCTACCTTAAACCAAATAATGATCAAGTCGCTACTTAGCAAGTAAAGACTGTATATATTCCTAGATAACAAGAAACCTTGTAACTGCAACAATAGATTAAGAAGATTGTAAGAGGTCAGGCTTACTTACATCTTCGATGCTCGTGCTGTGATCTGTAGTCAGCTGCAACGCAGCCAGTTTCGTCTGCTGCGAAGGGGTTTCATTGTTCACTACAGTATCCTTATTATCCACATCTGAAGGCTCTTTGTTTTCATCGTCTCTGTATAAATCGATGCGTCTTTCTTCCACTGTAGTCTCCACACTCGCACCTGTTTCATCAGCCTGATATTGTGCAACAAGAGCCCTACTATCCCCTATGTTCATTATATACACATCATCATCTCTCATCAGCGCAACCAGTAAGCACGAGCCCATCAGTGCAAGCTCGGGATTTGTGTCGAGAACCTTATCAGTCATTTCTAGAAACGCTTGCTCTGTGGCTTCAAGACCATTTGACATCGCCTTTAGAACCAGCTCGTGATCAACCGTACCCGCTTTTCGTCTCTTCTTCCTCTTCTCAACCGGTTCTTCTGCTCTAATGTTGTCTACCTCCTCTTTTTCAGCCTCCTCCACACCAAACTTCCATGGGAGCAACTTCCTCCCAGAAATTCCTTGTTTAGATAAACCTTGCTTCAATTTCGACAAAAGCAACCATCTCTTACTACCCACAGAAACTGCATTGCCTGCACTAATAGCATCTTCCACTGAGAATGCAAACCTGTCAGAACCTGAAAGATCCAACGCATCTTCTGCTTGAGCCTCTGCAAGAAGCTCCCATAGCCGTTTCCTCTCCTTAACTTCCACCACCTCTAATGGTGACGCCAATCTCTTTCCTCTTTCGTTTTCTTCCTTCTCTGTTACTGGACAGCTCGAACTTGCAGACTCATCGACTTCACCGTGAAGTTTACCTCGTTGCTCCAACTCTAGAGTGCTGCTACCTAACATACTCTCACCCTTCGGATTTGTTTCCGTTGGATTATCATCTTCTTCCTCCTCCAGTTCCCAGAATAAACCCTGTAACTCACTGTGAACAGCACGGTAGAGATTAGCCATCAGAAACTCCGGAGCGTCGGGTCCATTGAAACCGTCGTAGATTCCGGCGAAAAGCCATCCTTGCTTCTCGAAAACCGCTAATTGGACTCTGTCTTCTCCTGCTTTCCCCAATGCCCACTGTAAATCGTTCTCACGTTCGCCACTCGCGTTCTCTCCGGCGACCGCTGCCGCAGCTTCGACGATTGCGCCGCCGCCGTCGGATCTCGCAGTGTTTTCCCTCTTAGCACCGACGACGAAGTTCGACACCGGAAGAACCCACGGCCGTTGCTTCCTCTCCCCGAAAATTGGATGCCAGGAAAGGCTCTTCTTCTTCTTCCGTCTCTTTTTCGAGTATACGCCACCGCCACCGAGCGGCGCCGAGAAATGTACGCCGGCGGAATTAGATCTCGAAATCTCACTGGCGGGGTCCAACGGGCCTGAATTCGCGCCTCTCTCGATCGGACCCGACATGAAGAGGCCGCTGCGTTCCACAGGACCCGATCGATCCGGACCGAGCGGCACGGGCTGAAGCGGAAGAGCGTTAAACGACGACGTTCCTTCGAAGCCATTGGCATTCACGACACTGCTCCTCACGCCGCCGCCGAAAGTGCTCTCAGTGGCATCGTCGTAAATATCTTCGAGCTGAAAGACAGTTTTGGAATTGGAGGTGTTGGCGCTAACTGAAGCGCCGGAAATCGCTCTAAACCCAGTGTGGAGCTGCTCGGATGATCCGGAAGGTCGGATCCGACCCGGCCCATGCGAGGGAGATAACCGGAAGGAAGGAGTAGGAGAGACGAATCGATCGGAAGGAAACGGAGAAATGAAGCGGTTAGAAGACGGGACGTAGCAGTAGGAGTGGCCTAGAGTCTCATCCAACGGTTCACGGAGGGAGCTGATCCGATCGGAATGAATTTTATTCGCCGTCGCGGACGGCTGACGCTCCGACGAGTGATGGCGACGGCTATGGTGACCTTGATTGAAGCAAGGTAAGACGGAGGAGAATCCGTTTCCCATCACATTTGATTCCAACACTCTTACCGAGAAAAACCTTCCGAGGAAAAAATGAACCAACAAAAAAATTTCTCAGGGATTTTGAATTTACGAACTGAAAAGAAAAAGAGAGAGAGAGAGAGAGAGAGAGAGAGAGAGAGAGACTTTTGTCGTCTTCTTTCGGATTTAAATATGTTTTCTTTTTAAGCTGAGACGACTTTAGTGGTTTTGAATAAGCAGAAACATTGACTCTTTTTATACTTTTATTTCGCTTTTTCTTGCCTCGACTAAACATTCTATCTTAATTACAAAATCACCCTTGAAATATTATTCTTAACCCTTTTAAAGTTAAAACTAATAAAATATAAATTTTTGATCTGCTTATTTAGTAACAAATCAGTTTGTTCGAATATAATTAGTAACAAATAACTAATGATATCCGAACATAAGACATACAAAACGCATTCCTGAAACGAGAATAAACAGTTGTACTTCTAGACTTTCTTTTTATAAAAATCATGATTTCCGAATCCCATTAGTAATTATTTTTGGTTTTGTAATTAACTTGCCATAATTAGAATAGCTCAATGTGTTCACGCTATTAACTTGTTTACTTCACAAGACGTCGTGTTAATAAAGTGATGAACTAATAATTACTTGGATTGGGTCTATAGAATACATTTTTAATATTATTCTTTACTATATTATAGAACTAAAAATTAATCTGAAGAAAAGAATCTCCTTTGGAAAAATTATTCATTAGTACTTTTTTTTCGGATCATAGAGAGAAGAAAAGGAAAAAGAAAAGGGAATGGTCAAAATGGGGAAATCGAGGCTCGGGTTTAAAGGATTCTTGTAATAAGAAAGCTTTTTGTCATATGCTAATGGTTTTTCTTTTTCATCCACCAAAAAACCACTACAGTATCAAATAACTAATAAGTAATTATATTACGAGAAACAAAACATAAATCGCCAAATTCAAAATATAATGGCGTTAAGTACTTTCTTAATATGAATGACTGAAAACGTTTTTCGTCTAAAAGAATAAACGTTACTTCGTTACCTCATATGCTCACTAGCTACCGAACTAAAAACAGCTTAAGAACATTTTATCTGAAATATTAAGAATAACATCTCAACATAATCATAAACAACATGAAAATGGAAATATTAACAATGTTGAAGAATAGTTTTTAAAATACAATATTCTTCAATACATATTAGTTTTTTAAAAAAAATCTAACTTGCTTGAACTACAAATTTACATGTTCATCATATTTTTACTATTCAGTCACATTACAATAGTATAATGTCCATTCGCATTTTTTTCTCAACACATTCCATTTATTTTTCAAACAAAATCGAGCATGTTCCTTATTTTCAACCAATTTATATTGTTCACTCAGATGGTGTGTTCTGGGCATATTCAGCTAATTCCACCAGAAATTATATAGTTGATGGATATTGGTTTTTATATAAAACTTATTTATATTTTTCTCGTTTTAACTTATGTATTGATTTTTCTTTTCAATTTTTTGTATAATAGATGCTGTAATTTTCTCTTAATACGTTTTTATATGAAAACTTTTAAGTTTATACAAATAAAATGTTTAAGAAAAAACAAAATTCAATGAAAGTTCACCAATTCAGCCAAATTAACCTCAAGAATATCAGAACCATTATTTTAATATATAACGCATATAAATGTATTTATTTTTCTATCAATTGTCAGAAACAATTCATCTTTGCGTCGGTTACTATATATTATGTAACTGGAGTTTAAATTAATATAAATAAATTTGATAAAATTTACTAAAATTTATGTAGTTGATGAATAGTTTTCATCTGATAAAAAAATTATTTATCTCTTTATCATTATAATTTATATGTTAATTTTTATGTAAAATTTTAAAATTTATACAAACAAATCTTTTAACAAAAACAAAGATTATTGAAAACTCAGCCAAATTAATGTTAACAATATCACAACCGTTATTTTAAAATAACGTATATACTTATATTTACTTTTCTGTTAATTGTCTGACACAATGCGTCAGTTACCATACGTACACGATATAAATAATTTAAGAATAAAAAGTAAACTTGATGAATTCAACCGTTAAAAATGTCAAGTGATGGTTCAGTAAATAGGTTTTGCAAGTTGAAACATATAACTCGTGATAGATTTTACGAGATTTTATTTATAAATATCTTTTTTAACTTATTATATATTTTTTATTTTAATATAAATATCTTTTTTAACTGATGGTTCAATAAATAGGTTTTTCAACCAATTTATATTCTTCACTCAGATTGTGTATGTTGTGGGCAAATTCAGCTAATTCCACCAGAATTTATATAGTTGATTGATATTGATTTTTATATAAAACATATTTATATTTTTCTCATTATAACTTATGTACTGATTTTCTTTTCAATTTTTTGTATAATAGATTAATACTGTAATTTTCTCTCATTTTGTTTTTATATAAAAACTTTTAAGTTTATACAAATAATTTTTTTAAGAAAAATAAAATTCAATGAAAGTTCACCAATTCAGCCAAATTAACCTCAACAATATCATAACCATTATTTTAATATATAGCGCATATAAATGTATTTACTTTTCTATCAATTGTCACAAAAAACTCATCTTTGCGTCGATTACTATTTTGCATCGGTTACTATACGGTAGATAATACTCATAATAGATATAACTGGAGTTGAAATTATTATATAAATAAACTTGAAAATTTTAACTAAAATTTATATAGTCGATGAATAGCTTTCATCTGATAAAAAACTTATTTTTTCTCTTTATCATTATAATTTATATGTTAATTTTCAATGTATAATTTTAAAATTTATATAAACAAATATTTTAACAAAAACAAAGATCATTGAAAACTCAGCCAAATTAATGTTAACAATATCACAACCGTTATTTTAAAATAACGCATATAAGTATATTTACTTTTCTATTAATTGTTAGGCACAAAGCGTCGGTTACCATACGTTAGACAATAGATAGAAATTTAAGAATAAAAAACAAATTTGACGAATGTAACCGTTAAAAATGCCAAGTGGTGGTTCAATAAATAGGTTTTGCAAGTTGAAGCATATAACTCGTGATAGATTTTACGAGATTTTGTTTATAAATATTTTTTTAACTGATTATATATATTTTATTTTAATTACAAACTTTACCATCTTTTTCATGTAATAAAAAGTTTTTTATTTTTTCTTTTTGATTGATAAATTGAGTAGGAAATTCTTTTTGTGCCTGTTTTGGTTATATATATGTATATCCGATAATTTGCAGGGTAATTGAACAAACATTTTAGTTAAGATTTATAATTTGAAAATTATATTAATTTTTAATTTTTTGATAATTACACTTATTGAATGTTAAAAGACTCTTTTAACAATATTTCTATTAGAAGACATATATTTTAGTTGATAAAAAAATAAAAATCAAAAATTATAATTATTATGATTTTAGTGAAAATAAAGATATCTAATTATCTAATATTTAAATTTTTATAATTAGATAAATTATATAATAAGTAGAAATTGACACAAACAAAATATTATAGAGAAAAGATTGTCCAGCTATTCTTCAAAATGCCAATGATCTTTAGAATGTGACATCGAATAAATATTCAGTCATTTACTTGAAACACTACAATAGTGATATTTTTTATTAAAAAAACCTTAAAAATAATAAAATCAAAAGGATATGGTGAAAAGAAAATGTAAAAAACGATATCTTAATGTTCTTAGAAAATATATTATAATAGAATGTTTCCAAATATGTATAAAATTAAGATTATTTATAATTTATAAATAATAGAAAATCAAAACAGATTTCATTCGGTTTTAAAAGATTTGTTTATATTTTTACTAAATAATTTTAAAATTATTATAGACTCAAGGTTAAATCGTTTTACAGTAACTAAATATAATTATTTTAAAAATTTATTAATGGTGTAGTTTTTAAATTGGAATCTGGTTTTGAACTATTTTCCCAAAAAAATTCAACTTAACTATTGTTGTTTTACATTTTTAATTTGGGTTCAAGTCTCTTAGCTAGATGTTATATCGTTATACATCTCATTACTGTTATTATTAACAAAACACGTTTGAGACATGACATGCTCCTAATAACTACGTTCACCAATAATAATGAAAATGTTAATGTTTATAGTTTGTCCCATATAGTAAGACCGATGCATATCACAGTCAAATACATTTACAAATAATAAACTGAAGCTGTTTACTAATTTTGACTAAATTTTTTAAGAACCCATTTGATTGTTGTCTACAGTAATAGCATATAAACTAGGGATGGCATTTAGGATAAACTAGTCTCGTTTTATGGATGAAAACGTTTTATCTTGGTATATGGACATAGAATCCTAAGCTTTGTCATCCATTATTTAATACTAGTAAGCAAAAATATCACAACGAAAAAATCTCATATAAAAGTGTACTAGTGTGAGGGATTTCAACAATCTCCACATCAGCTATGGCAATCCGCAATCGTAAAAAAAGCTAGCCGGCTTGATCTTCATCAATCGTATATTTGGTCTCCAACACTTTTAATAGTTAGTGAATTTATTTTCCTCTTTTAATGAGATTTAACTGGTTAGTCCAAATAAAATCATTCTTTTGATATGTTGTCGATGCTTGGATATGGTAACAATGAATACATGATTCATCCATCTATATGCAAAGAAAGACTCATGAAACTTGGATGTTAGAGGATTATTGGGGATCTCCAGTTGTGATTGCGGGGAGGCAGATGCGTTGCTTCATCGCGGAGATCTTTTATGCCGAGGGGAGGAGAGGCATACGCAACAATAACTCTTATAACTATGAGCATATTAAGAGCTCTAATTAAGTATTAGATAGTCATGTCATATAGAATTAACAATGACTAATGGAAGAATGCACTCATAACCATATATAACATCATCATCATCATCATCAGCATAATAATAATAATAATAACAATAGTAATAGTAATACTAATCATGTATCTGTTGTAAGAAAACCATATAAGTTTTAATCTAAATTCAAATATTTCTAATTTTAACATAGATTAAAATTTGCGCTCAGATTACTCTTTCTGCTTTAAAATAATAAATATTTTAGACTTTTCACACATATTAAAAAAAAGAAAATTCTTTAATGTTTTAT